GCAGAGGCTCGTAAACAAGAAGCTTCAATTACAACCACACAAGGAAACAGGGTCAAAACACTGGAAAAAATCTAAATCTAGATAAGTAATTTTTCTTAAAAAAAGTGCATTTGTTCTTAGATTCATTTAAAATAAGGAAATATAATTTTATTGTCTTATTTCAAGTGCATTTTATCTAATCATCTTATTTTAACAGTAAAAATACTCACTCCATTGGCAAACTTTCTCAATTACTTACTGAAATAAAGGGTAAATACACTTAATTTAAGAAATGTTGACTTATTTCTAGATCATTTTTCCAGTTAACAATCTGCTGCAACCTTTTTATATCAATATAGCAGCAGATTTAGCAGCCTGTGCACTGGAAAAAATCAAAATCTAGATAAGTATTTTTTTCTTATAATAAATGCATTAGCTCTTGGGTTGAGGGAGTAAAAGAGACACTTTGCCGATGGAACAAGACAATTTACATTTAAAATAAAAAAAAAAAACACAATTGTATTGTAAAAATACTCACTCCATTGGCAAAAAAATCTCATTTACCTACTAAAATAAATGATAAATACACTTAAGTTAAGAAATGTTGACTTATTTCTGGATTATTTTTGCAGTGCATACGATGCAACCAGAACTCCTGCTGTTCCTCTGCTCCTTCAACTCACACTTTTCTCCTTTTCTGGTTCTGCTTCTCAGAAAGTGGTTCTGGTTCTGCTCAGCAGCCTACTTAGAAGATGAAACTGAGCCTGAGGAACAGCTGTTGAGCTCAGCAGCTTCTAAATATGTCCCGGTGTCCTCATGCCCATAAACCAGCCTGACATCTGAGTGTGGGTCTGCTGCGGTTCATGAGACGGGTCAGGGTCCCACCGCAGCAAGAAGCAGGAAAGGCTTTTACTGTGAAGGGGGCAGGAGGCGTCCTGAAGCATCTGTATTCCTGAGCAGCTTTTCCTTTGGTGGTTTCAGCTCCGCACGCCTCCTCTCCGGATGACGGCTGTTTAAGCCTTCATCGTGCTTATGGAGTAAATTCTGTTACATTATTGTTGCAGAGAACAAAATATCTGAAAAAAAGTTGCAATCAGAAATGAAATTTTGAAAATCTTATGAATTAAAAAGGTTTTGAGTGATTAGATGGATGGATGTTTTGAGTAAAGTTTTCTTAGATGTAGTTTTTTCATGTTTATTTTTTTTCATATTTTATGGTTTCAAAATTCTATTAAAGTGACATTTTTCACTTTATTGGCGGCTCAGTGGGGCAGTGGGAAGCACTGCTGCCTGGCAACAAGAAGTTTCTGGATCAACTCCCAGCCCGCGGTCTTTCTGCATGGAGTTTGCATGTTCTCCCTGAGCATGCGTGGGTTCTCTCCAGGTACTCCGGCTTCCTCCCACAGTCCAAAAACATGACTGTTAGGTTAATTAGCTTCTCTAGATTCTCCTTAGGTCTGTGTGTATGAATGGTTGTTTGTCTCTGTGTTGCCCTCCGATGGACTGGAGACCTGTCCGGGGTGGACCCCGCCTCTTGCCCATACACTGGAAAAAATCAAAATCTAGATATGTTGTTTTTTCTTAAAAAAAAGTGCATTTCTTCTTAAATTGAGGGGATTAAAGAGACATTTTGCCAATGGAACAAGACAATTTAGATTTAAAATAAGAAAAGACAATTGCATCTTCTTATTTCAAGTGAATTTCATCTAATTATCTTATTTTAAGGGTAAAAATACTCATTCCATTGACATATTATCAAATTTACCTATTCAAATCAAGGGTAAATACACTTAATTTAAGAAATGTTTACTTATTTCTAGATCATTTTTGCAGTGTAGACAGCTGGAGATCGGCACCAGCATCCCTCGTGACCGCAGCAGGGATAAGCATGATAGAAAATGGATGTATTAAAATTACATTTTTCATTCAAAATTCATTTTTAGTACATTTTTATTTTATTAATTTATTTTATTCAAATTTCTTTTTCAAATTGTGTTTCTCAGATCACATTCTCTTCACTTCACTGGAAAAACGATCTAGAAATAAGTAAACATTTCTTAAAATAAGTGTATTTACCCTTTATTTAAGTAGGTAACTGACATAGTTTGCCAATGGAATGAGTATTTTACTCTTAAAATAAGATAATTAGATAATATGCACTTGAAATAAGACAATGACATTATGTTTTCTTATTTTAAGTGAAAATTGTCTTGTTCCATTGGCAAATTGTCTCTTTTACCTCCTCAATCCAAGAACAAATGCTAACACTCACTCTTGACCAATAAAAAAGTTGCTAATGTCAAGCGGACCAATAGAAATGCGTCTTCACTCCTCATGCTAGAGAAAATCCCGCCCACAGAAGTAAAGAGAATGTGATCTAGAAAACTTACTTTAAAAAATAATTATATTCCTAAAACTTTAAGGACAGAACATTTCAAAATGTTCCTTAAACAAGAGACAATGCATTTATTTTTAGGAGAAAACGAGTAACTTATATTTAATTTTATGCAGTATATCTGCCTTCCCTAACCTTCTACACAGTTTTCCATTCAGAGCTGTGAAAACATGTTTGAATTGAAAAGAGACGTTCCTTTTAACCAGTCTGGGCCACGGCGCTGTGTGCAGCAGGAGGGAGAAGGAAAAGGCATCTGCTCTGAAAATGACCCGATGACTCTGCAGAGCAGATTTAGGTTGTTAAGCACAGCTCGCTGGCCTGTGTGTCATTTTATATTTATTTCACTTTAGGCAAGGTTTTTGGTTTTTAAATAGTAGACTAACCTTACTGTTAGATCTGCTTTATTTTAAGCACCTTCATGAGAAAAAGCTTTATTTTCTCCTCTTCCCATGGTTGAACTGTCCGTTTAGTCGCATTCTGCCTGCTCAGCTCCATCTGTACTAACTGTAACACTTTACAATAAACGTTATTTATTTAAGGTAAAGAGACCATTATTCAGCCATTTATCAAACTATTTATAAAAGGTAAATAGATCATATTGTCCTGTCATGTTAAGTTTATCCCTAACTCTTACATCAGTGGACTGAAGACCTGAACCTAGCCTTTATTTTTAAGTTACAGTATTTTTCAATAGAGCGAACCTCACTATAAGCTACACCCACTTATTTTTCATCTAAAGGAAAGGTTCGGTTATGTTCAGAATTCAAACTTCTGAAAGTTCTTTAAATCAGAAATGATTCCATCCTGTTCAATAAATGATCAGTGTTTTTAATTCAGAGTAATTTTCATGTGAATGTGCTT